GAGTATCTGCTTGGAGCTGCATGATGAATGAAGTCTGAAGTTGTGTCCAGGTTGAGCAGGCTGTTATCAATGTCAGTTAAGGGAGGGGCTACAGGAACTACTGTAGCAGCAGCAGAAGTCAAGTAAAAACTGATTTTTGTGATCATTGGTAGATTCAGCTAAGTAGTTGATGGAGGTAAGGATAGAAAAGTTGGAAAGGAGGTTCCACAAGACCAGAAACCAGGCTCACATGATGCCAGGAGCAGGAGATGGGGGTAGAAGTGATTAGCATAGTTGGGAAACCAGCTATAGGAACTAAAAATCCTTAGGCACCAAGGCACAGGCACATGCAAGCAAAGTGTCAGATGCTGTTAGTGTCTTAGGGCCAAGACCAAGGAGATTGAGGCCATTTTAGACTCTCAGGTCCCTTTCAAATTCTATGTGACGGGGCCTCCCTGGTGGCACAAGCAGTTAAGTTGCACTGCAATGAAGCTATCCACAGCCACTGCAGCACAAGTTCGATCCCTGACCTGGGAGCTACCCACATGGCACAGCAGACCTCTCCTGTCTCGCCTGCTGCTCCCCTCAGCAGTGTATTTCAGTCAGTCTGCCTGTTCTGCTCCCCACTCTGTCTCTGATAAATCCTCTCACCCTCCCGTGCCTCTGGCCTGCACCCCAGCTCTGGTATGCATAAATAAATACATCTTAGAAAAAAAAAAATTCTACATGGCTATAAGAAATCAACAGTAAACAGGCCACTCCACCAACGAATGAGCCCCTCCCACAGAGAAGACTATTTCAGGGCAGTCTCTGCACTAGTGAGGGGCCGCAGCCCTCCTGCCCACCTGTGACTACACAGGTACTTCTTTTCGCTAACTTTCTCCCTGCAGGGCAGCAGAGGCAGCTCTCCTCAAGGGTGCCCCCCTGTGGCCATGCAGGCCTCTCCCTTAGCAAACCTGTCCCTTTCAGGGGCAGCCCTTTGTGCTTGCTGTATCTGTGCAAGTGTCCTTTATTTTTCTCTCCCTTTATAATAAGCCTGCCCTTTTGGATATGACTAACCACTCTGTGTCATGGAGAAACTCACCTGGGAAACTCATTGGTTCCTGTGAAAGGGGAGCTCTGGTGAACCCAAGGACCCCGCTCTCCGAACCCAACAACTCCAAAAATGACTTCATAGTGACGAACACTTTAGTGTGAATTTTTCTGCTAAGTTCCATAGCACTTAGAGAAAGGGCAAAGGGAGAGAAAGGGTAATTTTGAAGCTAGAGCCACGATAGCCATATGCATTATCGTGTACCCCAGAGCACTTCTGAGGACACCACGGGGAAGGGGGGATCTGCTAACAAGACACGGGACAATATACATGGAATGTGCTGTGTGGATGGTCACCTTAGCTCTGGGGACAGGCAGCCCACTCACGAGAATACATATTAAGGAGTTTCTCCTTCCGATAAGTATACCAAAGTCTTTTCCCTGATGCTAAGCCTTTTTCAATAAGTGTGGTTCTCAGTGATCACATTTCCCCCAAAATAAAGAGGAGCTGAAACAATTGCACCTGGGCAGGATTCCAGAAATTCTTAGAGAGTCCCCGTGATGCATATGAAGGAATTCAGTCGATCTGCAATTTTTAAGAAGCTGATTATTCAACTAATGCATTATCTTCTGGACCCTTGTTTTATTTCTTCCACTAGTTAATTTAGCAATATGTCAGTTCTGATGAGAAGGTTTGATAGGGAAGAAGATGAAGCTATTACATGAAATGAGTTTGGGGAATTACCAATGGGTTTCAATTATCCACATTACTCTTACTGAAGGTTGATTGACTGTGAAGAGCGGTAACTCAAACAGCCTTGCTATTTCTAAGGCAGAGATGTCCTTGCTCCTTTTGCCTCTTTGAACAGAGCATACATTATATGCACATTTATGAACATCTAGATTCTCACTTCCCCAGTCCCATTATCTGTGATTAGAAAGATTAAAAAACAACAACAACTTGATCATTGATCATTTGGTGGTGGGTGTGGTATAGTAACAAACACCTGAAGCTATGTGACCCCTAAATCACATGCTGTGTTGTAAATCAATCAATAAACAATACAATTAAAAGAATAAAAAAATGAAAAAATCAGCTGCAACATAGATATGATAAAGGACTGAAATAATTCAATATTCAATGTCTTTTATTTAGAACTTATGTACTAGATCAAAGAAGAAGAAAATAATGGTAAACTGCTCTTTGCATGGAAAAGAAAGCAGAGGCCACACAGTGTGTGATGTATGGCCTATGGGTACTAACCTGTCTTTAAATGCAAAAATGTATAAGTTTAAAGGAATATTTGAAATGAAAGACATTGAGATGCTCTGTGAATGCTACCAGCTCACAAGGCATTGACTTCTCCTACACTGGAGCTGCTTTTTGAAATTTGGTTGGCTCTTCTCTCTACTCATTCAAATCTTGATCATACTCCAAAGTGACTATTGAGATCCACTTTACTGTTCTTTGGTCTATTGTTACAGATGTAAGACCGTGTTCTTAGATATTCATACCCGCAATAGTTGTTTTTTTATCCAACTGATACTCTCTTGAGATATTTGTGTATCTTAAATAATTACTTCACTTGTGAATTACTGTTTGTCTTTCCATATGAGGAACCAGTATCATCTCCCAGACTAGACTATAAATTCTTCAAGAGTCAGGGGCCATTTATGAGCTATCCTTAGGTAGCCCCATTCAGAAGTCCAACTGTATTTAGGTTGGACCAGTAGAAAAGGCAATTTCATATGATTCCACCTATTAATAGTTATAATAGAATTAATTGTCTAGTGAATAGAGTTAAAACTTTCTGCAGTTATCCCTGCTCCACTCAAGAAAGGGTGGCACTGAGCAGGGAGGAGAAGCTGGGGAAGACTGGGAGAAGGAAGGGGGGAGACCAAGAAGGAGACCTGGAGGAGCCACGTGGACTGGGGAAACGTGTGAAACTCGCTTGCTTCACGGCCTTGGGCTTGTACCAGGGATATTGTCTTTTTTTCCCCAATGAATGTGCCGAGGCATGAAGGGTTAAATAATTTCCCTGAGAATACACAACTGGCAGTGATAGAACTGGGTGTTCCAGTTGGTAGTCAGTCTCAACTCAAGAATTCTAAAGGCCATTTGGACCCTAACCTATAGGAATACAGTTAGTTAAAAATTAGAACAGGGCCTCCCTGGTGGCGCAGGGGATTAAGCACCACACTATGAAGCAATCCGCAGCCTCTGCAGCACTAGTTCGATCCCAGGCCGGCCAGGGAGCAACCCGCATGGTGCAGCAGACCTCTTCTGTCTTGCCCGCTGTTCCCCTCAGCATTGTATTTCAGTCAGTCTGCCTGTTCTGTTCCCCACTCTGTCTCTGGTGAATCCTATCACTGCCCCGCCCCCGCTGTCTCTGGTCTGTACCCCAGCTCTTATATGCATAAATAAAGAAATCTTAAAAAAAAATTAGAACAATTGAAAGATCATAGTGAAGTCAGAGAAAGACAAATACCAGATGTTCCATTCACACATGGAATACAAAGAAACAAAATAACAAACAAAAGTAAACCCAATAAATTTTAGAAATCTGATTGCATAATTGAGGCTACCAGGTGAATTGAGGGTGGGGGTGAAAACATCAAGTGGGGAGGGGCCCAACAGTCTATGGTGAAGGATTGTGGGGCTTTGGTGGTGGGTGGGGTGTGGTCACACACATCTGAAAAGACATGAACCAGTACCTCTGACTCATACACAGTGTTATAAACCAATGTTACCTCGATAAAAATAAGAGTTTTAATTAGAAAATTATTTAGTCTTGGGAAATGTGCAGCATCTGGTGGAGACTTTATAATTTGGAGTTACAGAGTTAACATAAGACCTACAGTTTTAGCTTTTTTATAAGTATAATTTAGAAATATAGTGCCTCAGTGTCCTGAATTATAAGCTGGAATTTATATCACTGACTTCTCCATATGAATTTTTTAAAGGGAGCAAGAAAACTGGATCATATAAAATGTGTTTAAAAGGAGCTCTTAATTTATTAGTTTTATTTTTACATTTGGTTACATCGTATGCATGCAAAAACTTTCATAAAATTATATTTAATCTCACTTTTCTACAGTCAATACTTGTTCTCTAATGCAGATATTTATCAATTTCTTTGTTACTTGAAAGCTATAAAACCCACGCAAGCAGATACTATATAAGGCTGTTTAACCAATAAATTGATAACTTCTCTCCATATATAATGCATGCCATGTACACATCACATATATCATTCATACACATGCAATCTGTTTAGTAATAGAATTTGTCTAAATTTCAAATATGTACTTTTTACAATTTAAATTTTTTAAAAAATAAATGAAATATTCCAGTTGATTTCCTTTATGTTTGGATGACAAAAATGACATTCTCCTTTGGAGTACAGCATCAAATAAAGACAAAAACATTACGTGGGGAATTGGGAATTTGGCTTTAAGTTTCTGAGCCTTAAGTTAGCTAGAACAATAAGTCGGATGATGTTATGTCTGCAAGTGTCTTAAAGCAAGTTTTGCTTATCAATTTTCAAGTCTATGTTCTTGGAAATGTAAATTCTGTTTCTCTTAATAAATAAAATAAGCCACATATTCCCTTCTCTTTAAGAAACTATCCAAAGGAGAACAGACCTGGATTTTTCTTAGTCTTGGGAGCGTCCTGTAAAAGCCAAGTCATTCCCGATAAGTGGCGATTTTCCTGGTAGGAGACCCACAGGGCTGTGCCCCCAGGCCAGGTGTGGGCGAAGTTTCTGGGCAGAGCTTGGGGTTCAAGGGTCGAAGACTGACTTTCTAGTCATGCTCGTCTGAACCACATGAGCCAGCCAAGGTTTCCTCTTTTCATTACCACCAAGGGTTATCTGGGGAAGCAAATTGTGGGCCATCCTAGTGTTTGATTTGTGTTGCTTCTGCTTTAGAAAAAGTTCGTAAACCACACTGTGGCCACGCGCGGTCAGGGAGGCGAGGGGGCCGGTTACCTTCCTCCGGGCGGTGATGGAGCTCCCCGGGCTGCGTCCCCAGCTGCCCCCCGCGCCGCCCTGCTGCGGGGCCGGAACCTCACACGCCAGCGGGGACTCCACGTCGCTGCTTGTGCCCCAAAACACAAAAGAGAGCATGTTCCAGTGAGTCACCTCCATGTTCAGAAAGGAAGATGTGGTTTATCAAAACGCAACCTCGGGGCCTCCCTGGTGGCGCAGGGGTTAAAGTCTCAGCGCCATCAAGCTATCCCCAGCCGCTGAGGCCTGAGTTCCATCCTGGGACAGGGAGCTACCCACATGGCTCAGCAGACCTCTCCTGTCTCCCCGCTGCTCCCCTCAGCAGTGTATTTCAGTCAGTCTGCCTGCTCTGCTCCCCACTCTGTCTCTGGTGATTCCTCTCACCCCCGTCCCTTGCACTTCTGTCCTACACCACAGTTCTCCTATGCACAAATCAATCAATCAATCAATCTATCAGTGAATCAATCAATCTTTAAAAAAAAGAAAGTTAAGAAAAACCTCATCCTCTGGCTGACTCTGGCACTTACTTGCCTCACCCTTGGTGAAACTAGGATGAGCTAATTGTGAATATAAAGCTGCATCCAATACTGCAGTGCCAATGACATCTTTTCAGTTGCCACGTTAATTTCACTCTCCAATGCACAAAAGAAATACTAAATTTTATTTTTTAAAAAGAAGGGTAACTACTTTTAATTAGAAGGTGGGATGGTATGAAAAGGGCGTGGACTTAAGAAAACCCACCCTCTTTTTTCTAATTGAAATATATTTGCCATGTGACATTGCATAAATTGAAGATGAAAGACATGATTATTCTAACCATCGCAAAGAAACCCTCAGTATGAAATCAGGTCACCTCTGTAATGTTTCTGTGACTGGTGGTGGTATCATACCTTCTCGGTCTCCAAAATTCTAGATTTATATCCCTTTCCCTCTCTCTACAAACCTAAGTGTGTCTGACTATATACAGGATGGCATGACTTTTTACAAAGATTTAAAATCATTTGTGGGCCTCCCTGGTGGCGCAAGGGGTTAAGACGTAACACTATGAAGCTATCCGCAGCCACAGCTGGCCAAGGAGCAACCCACATGGTGCAGCAGACCTCTCCTGACTCGCCTGCTGTTCCCCTCAGCAGTGTATTTCAGTCAATCAGCCCCTTCTGTTCCCCACTCTGTCTCTGGTGAATCCTCTCACCACTCACACCTCTGGCCTGTACCCCAATTCTTATATGCCATAAATAAATAAGACTTAAAAAAATAAAATAAATAAAATAAAATCATTTGTACATCTTTAAGGCAGGAAAAAAATTAAAACCAATAGCTTTTCGTGATATGACTAGAGATTTAAATTGAGTCTAATTGTAATACAAAAATCTTTCTGAATCGTAAGGAAACATTTCTCTTTTGAAAATTTGAAATTAAAAGGATATACTGATATCTCAAGTCTACATATTTTATTTTTGTTGATGTTGACAACATAGACCACATGAAATTCATGAAAATACATTATGGAATAGGATCTATGTATGTAATTATCAAACCAACATACATTTTTTTTTCTTTTAAATACCAAGTGGAAGATTGGGTCAATAACACACTTCTAATTAATAAATGACCCTTATTAGTCATTTTTTTTATTGTATTGCAATTAGTCATGACTCAGACAATGCATGAATGTAGCTGGTTCGCATTTCCATTATTAATCATTACAGATGACATATTTTAGGCAGCTCTCCTGCCCGCTTGTGACTGTGCAGGTGCCTCTCTTTTTCTTTCTCCTTTTCCTAATAAGGCTGCCCTTTTAAAATGTAAATAAATAAATGACATTTTTCAAACGACTGCTGATGGTGAAGTAACAGATTGTAGATCTGGGTAAAAGTTGAACAGAATAATTCAAATAAAATCTGTCTTCATTCAAATTTTTATGTGTTATCTTTTATGTCATTGCCATATTGAGAACAAAAATGAGCCAAATTTAAATGAAAGGATAACACCCACTTATTGTAAACAGTGGTAGTGAAAGGAAGGAAGAGAGGGAGGAAGGAAGGAAAGTAGATCCAGATCCTGGCTACAACTGTGTAGTTACTATACTGCCTACCTTTTTGGGGTCTGTCATCACTTATAAATAAAAGCGGAATACACAGTGTGGTTCCTTCTATCTCTGGAAGTCATTTGTAAAATATCATGGCGTGTCTAAATTTTTAATGCTATTCTTACAGGTTTCCCCAGCATGGGGCCTCCCCCTTTCTAAGCTGCTATTTAAGTAAGAGACTCAACCTCAGACCCAACTCCAATGTTCCTCTGAGGCTTTTTGGCTACAGGGCAGCTTGACTTTAGGCAAAACTGAACAGGTTATCGTTGGAAAACAAGACCACAGAACAAATGAAGCTTGCTCTGCAATAACTTGCCCATGAGTCAGGGAAATCTCATATTCCTCCTTTCAGTCTTCAATGATCTGTGAGTTGAGCTTCTTGAAAACCCTCACAATCATGTGTCCTATTGCAACTGTGTCCCAGAGGCAGCTCTGAGATGCTAGAGGATCACCTCCAACCAGGCTGTCCCTGGAATGGTGTCTGGGCTTAGGGCATCTCCCAGGTCTCTCTGCAAGGTGAGAAATCTTGGGGGTAGAGAGTAGCCTGGCTGAGAAATAAGGTTGAGACAGACTTGATCTAAAGCATAGTACCTGAGCTTACAGAAGTAGAGCTTAGACAACCACTGATGACTCCAGCTAATGGGTAGAGATGGTCAGATCCCCAATCAGGGAATAATGGCAACATCAAGAAAGTAAAAGATCACCCATGGAAAGTCTGTGTTTTCCCATAAAGCACATTGTATCTGAGTGTAGCTAGGCAAGATATTTTGGTAATTTTTATGCACAAAAATATTTAAGAACTCTTCCAGTGGAAGGAAGCAGTGGCAAATCTACCAATACATGTATTGGATATAAAAGTCTTTCACTTTTGAGATGACTGTGAGATCCTGGAGGGAATGAAGGTGAGGAGGGAGGGAATATGAATGTGTTGCTTCCAGCTGGACTCCTTCCACTTCTTCTAATATTAAATCTGTATAGCAGTGATACCAGAAAACAATGACATAAATTTGTATTTGTTTATTATTGGGAAAAGCCAAGGAGGCAGTGGAGATGCACTCAACAAGTGCCGGGCACAGCAGGGCACCAGCAGCCAGAGCAGAGATGCAGCTCGAGAAACACACAAAGCCACTTGATGATGCTTAATATCCAAAAGTAGATGTTGAGAGGCTTTTTATTCTAAACCAGGTGACATGGATGTGAATTTCTAGTAAGTGGCCTTACAATGCAGCCTAATCTTTTTCTATGTCTTTAGATTGGAGATGGAGTTTTTGAGTATTTGCAAAGATGCTGTCCTTGCGCTAGGGAGGCAGTACTTTCGCTGCAACAGGATGAGGCAGAGAAGGCAGCAACATGAAATTCAGACATATATTAAAATTAGTTCAAACTGATATTAAAAGATTGCTGTCAAGACAGAGCAGATTCTTATAACTTGCTCCTAATGGGGGAAGCTGTAAGTTCTTCCCTGGGACTTTCCTTTGATTTTAACAAGTGTTGACATGTTTATAAAATATATCCTTTCAGGCTGATTTCATGCTGAAACTGTTCTGCTAAACATATTTCAATAAGGAGGCGGATCAAGGTGGGAAAGGAGATACAATAGCAGAATTTGAAGCAGTGACTTCAAAAATTCTATGTGAAGGGAAGTGGGTTCCCTCATAGAGAAATGTCCTCTGTGGATGAAGTGCAGTGTCACCACAGGCTGCAAGCCATGTGTGAATGAGTAGGTTACCCACTAGTGGAATGGCTTAGGGAAGTTCAGTTACTTCCTCAAAGGGAAAAGAATGCTCCCCAACTAGGAGAAGAATTCCCCAGGTACTGGAAGTTGAATTGTCTGTCTCTTGCTGCTCAAAGTTAGGTCTGTGAATCATCAGTGTTGATGTCACCTGGGAGCTTGTTAGAGACCCAGGAACTGGGGTCCCTCTCTAGAGCTAGTGGTTCATAATTTGAATTTTGACATTAAACTCAGATGATTCATATGCTCATTAAAGTTTGAGAAGCACTTATATGCATATTAAGGTAAATACACAATCTTACTTGCCTTCGGGAATGTACGCATGATGTTTCTGCTTTTAGAAACCCTCTTCCTGGTCCTCCTCCTTCTCCAGGGGAATTCCTAATTTATCCTTTAAGTCTCTGCTTATAAAGCACCTCTTGCATCTCCCTCTTCCCATGCCTCTGCTAAGGAGGCCACTACTTTCCAGCACACCTCAACAGCTGAGGTACACACAGACACACTCTCTTGCCTCCCTCCCGTGCCCCGGAAGAGAGTGGGTGCTCTTCCGCTGGACCAACAGGATCCTGAACCAAGTCTTGTTGTGGCACTTGGTCAAATTCCATGGAATTTTTCCAATATGTGCCTGTTTCCTTCTTTAAACTATAAATAATGAGAGGAGAGACACCCTTTGGGACCTAAGGCAGCACTATGCCATGGTGGATGGTCAGTTAGAATTTATTAATGCTTTTTCTTTTCTTTCTGAGCATCCTTGGTTGACCTCAAAAGATTATGCTCAATAGAATGTTCGAATTCAACTCTAAATTTTTTCCAGTGGTGACAGATGGTGGGATAAGCCTCATCTGAGAAGATAATTTAAAGAATTTCCCAGGATAGTTCTAATGAAAAAAGATCCTGCTGTTGTTGCTAAAATGTCGAGTAAACACAATGTAAAATTGAAAGAATTTTAACAGATTTTTAAAAGATAAGATTTGTTCCTATCTGTTCCTTGGGTTGTCTCATTTCCATTAAGGAGAACTACTCTTGAGCTTTATATTAAGTCCTTTAATCTCAACCCTGGGAGAAAAGGAAAGCTCACTTGCATTTGAAGAGATTTTGAGCAAGGAATCAAGATGCTTTCAATAAAATCAATTTAATGACATGCCACAAATAAGAACTTAGAGGATTTTAAAACACACCATCATGTGGTTTAAAATAAAAGTTTGCACAAGTGAGTATGTTTCATTTTCCTTCAGCTGAAGGGGTGAGACTGTTACATGAAGGGATT